AGCAAATTGGTATTTCAATGACGAAAAATTTAAACTGATTCAGAGTGCAATATTATATATTTCAAGGAATGAAAGAAGAGTCAATATACCACTGATTAGTTGATGAAATTCAGTTTGACAGTCTGTCAATGAAAAAACGTTTATTAAAAAGATGACTTACTTCCGTATCCTTTTTGTAAGCGCATTGGACTGTGTACCATAATTGTTCAGTAGCATTATTTGGAACTGAAAATTTACACATATAAATATGAGGTGTATGTTTTCAAAATTTCGAAACAATTCATTCTTGTTGATGGATATCACACTATCAATACTAACAAAAAAAATCATACTATTTTCTAGAACAAAATTAACGTTATTTGCGACTCTTTAAAAATTTTTGTATCTGGTTGATGAATATCTTCAAATTTGAGTTCCTCTCTGTGCTACAGCACGAACGACTCGTTCACTGATTATCGTCAGGCTTTCAAGAAAATAAGTACAATTCATTTCATTTATTTATTGTACTTTATTATTTGTCTCAAGTCCTGTACAACTGATTTGAGTGAAATCGAATCGAAGCTCATGTTTCTGATTTACCATCAAATTCGTATCTCGGCCTAACTAAGTTTTTTTGAATGATACTAACATTCGCAGATGTTAACTAGCTTCATCAAGTGTTGTGCTGTTCGAGATTTTTCCACAGCTTTGAATTCTGAAGTTCAGCATCAAAATATAATTTCTATAAGAGCTGTGACATTGTTATGCTGAACTGTTGTTGTTGGTGGATCAGTGGAACTACAAAGTTCAAAAACAATGGTATACTGACAAGTGGGAGGGAAGGTCCAAGAAAACTTTACTTCATGAGAGATTTATCTCTCCATTTTTTTTAATTTTACCCAAATATACCAGGTTGTTATACAAATAAATACTTGGGAATAATATGAAGAACATACTGTATGCAAGTAATTCCCATCAAATTATGACACCTGACTGAATTTCATTTTGACAGAAGGTCATCTTATTTTGGAAAACAGAGAAAATCTCGTTTCTCTCAGTAACCCCTGTATATTAGAAAATTGGACCCTTGAACACAGTTGAGGTTTTCACCCGACAAAAAAAAATGGAATACCTTTTTATGAATTATGTGAGTACTGAATGTTTTTGAATGTTTTCAGCATTTTCATAAATCATTCGGAGACAGTTCAAATTGTATTTTTGTTGAAATTGGACGTATTTTACATCAGGTAGAGTTTTTCAATAAGAAAATGATCATTAAATTGAATGGGATTATCTTTTTTGGGAAAAAAGCTATTTGACTTTCTACTTTCCCGTCATCACAAAGTTTGTTCATAAAAAAACTTCTGTGCTTGACTTATACATCTTTGTTGATTGTTTATTTTGAACTCGATTCCTTCCTTTGTTCCTTCGGAAATTTCCCATGAAGATGAAGAAGTAGAAAACCAAAAAGCTTTTTTTCTTAAGACAATTATCATTTGATAATCGGAGATATCATTCACGGAGTGTTCTTTGAAATATGGACAATCTCAAAATTAGTTCAGTAAAATTATATGTGCAACACTTGAAAAAAATGAGACTCACCAGAAATCTTAGCCGCACTCAGGCAATCGATGTAATGTGGTAGTTTGTATTGCAAGTTATCTGGCACAAAGTATTTTACTTTTCTTTCATCGACAGTAATATCAGTTGTTATCTGTGGGGAAAATTCCATTTACAACGTCTGTAGTATACACTTATAAACTTTTAGAGGATGAAAGCTCAGCTAGAAAATTGTTGTATTTTTTCTGTAACATTGACTNCTTGTCGGGCTACGAACTTCCTAGCCCAAAGCAATATGGATCAGAATAGCTTTATGTCTAATACAATTAACAAAACAAATAAGTGTATATGCTCATCTATAATATGCGATATTGAAATTGAAATTAATGGATGGATAGTACATACTCTGGTTTTGGTTGATCGAAAGTGACTATTTCAGAATTACAATTCATCACTCGTTTCGGAATTACCTACTGAAGATAATCTGAACTGAAAACAAAGGTAGAGAAATTAAGAAAAGAACATTTTGGAAATAAACGTAATAAGTTTGGAAAAAATCATGTGAAAAAGATGCTGCAGAAAAAAACCATGACACAAAAAATTCGATATCACATGTAGAATAGAAAAACATCCTGTGATACTGTAATACCAAACGACAATGAAATTCAAAATGCATGTATACTCACTTGCAGAAGAATTAATCGATTTTTCAAACTCTCAAACATTGGTGCATGGAAACATTTTATACTTGGTATGAAAATGTTTCAAAATATCGTTATCGCATTGTTGATCTTGTGAAAAATATAATCTGTCGAATAAGAAATATTTAATAGAGACGACTAATCTTACCTTGTTTTCTGTTAGTGTTTGTCTCTATTGAAAGAGTGATCTCTTGCAGGATGAAAATGATGTTTAAATATCTTGATACATGGTTTTATATGCACTTGAATAAGTGGATGACTGTAAATATTGTTATTGGAAAGGGATAGGCCTGGTCAAGTTCATTTAAATCGGATATGAAAGGTCATCACTGAACGTCTTGGGAAAATATGATACAAACTCACAGAAATAATCGTTGATGAACTCCTCGTTATTTACTTCCAGTCATCATTCCGGATCATATATCAAGAATGTGATGTTTATTCAATACCATAACTAGGTAGGGACGAATTTCTTGATTATAATAATGATCATTCCCAACCATGAAAGAGAAATAAATTCAAATTCTTCGAAAATTTGAATTGGTTCTTCTCTCACACAGCTGTTGGCGTCATTTGAAACCAGTGGTTCATAAAAAAAATTTAAGAATATGACCTGTTTCTGTAGAGTGGGAAAGGGAGTGTAGGCCCACAGCACTCATGCCAGATGTGACCCATTGTACACCCTCCCGAGGAGTTGTCCTCCTAGATCAGGGGTCTCCAAACTACGGCCCGCGGGCCAAATCCGGCCCGCCGTGTCATCAATCCAGCCCGCGACAGCCAATAATTTACTGGCATCAATCTGGCCCGCAACAGCCAATGATTACCTAATTGTTGTTACTATTGCTGTGATAAGTTGAAGAAGAAAACACAGAATGATAATTACTCGGTTTTATTTACTTGCAAGGTANCTGAATTTCATTTTGACAGAAGGTCATCTTATTTTGGAAAACAGAGAAAATCTCGTTTCTCTCAGTAACCCCTGTATATTAGAAAATTGGACCCTTGAACACAGTTGAGGTTTTCACCCGACAAAAAAAAATGGAATACCTTTTTATGAATTATGTGAGTACTGAATGTTTTTGAATATTTTCAGCATTTTCATAAATCATTCGGAGACAGTTCAAATTGTATTTTTGTTACTATTGGACGTATTTTACATCAGGTTTTTTCAGGAGTTTTTCAATAAGAAAATGATCATTAAATTGAATGGGAATATATTTTTTGGGAAAAAAGCTATTTGACTTTCTACTTTCCCGTCTTCACAAAGTTTGTTCATAAAAAAACTTTTGTGCTTGACTTATACATCTTTGTTGATTGTTTATTTTGAACTCGATTCCTTCCTTTGTTCCTTCGGAAATTTCCCATGAAGATGAAGAAGTAGAAAACCAAAAAGCTTTTTTTCTTAAGACAATTATCATTTGATAATCGGAGATATCATTCACGGAGTGTTCTTTGAAATATGGACAATCTCAAAATTAGTTCAGTAAAATTATATGTGCAACACTTGAAAAAAATGAGACTCACCAGAAATCTTAGCCGCACTCAGGCAATCGATGTAATGTGGTAGTTTGTATTGCAAGTTATCTGGCACAAAGTATTTTACTTTTCTTTCATCGACAGTAATATCAGTTGTTATCTGTGGAGAAAATTCCATTTACAACGTCTGTAGTATACACTTATAAACTTTTAGAGGATGAAAGCTCAGCTAGAAAATTGTTGTATTTTTTCTGTAACATTGACTGGATTGAAATATTTCATTTCATTGTAATCTTCTTGAATACGTAATTGAATATTGGTATTCGCAATCTGAACTTTTGGACGTGATATCATATGTTGAATATATATGTATTGGAAAAACAACAGACAGAACGTGTTAGGTGGAAGAACAGATGGCAGTTTGCAACTTCCGGTGCCGATTTTTACACTGAAATTTGCCCATTTATAAATTTCTCAAGTGGAAATCAATGAAAACCTCAATTATCATTATTTCCTCAAGGATGCGCTACTCTAGCCCTAATCCTCGAAGCCCTTATATATTCAAGAGGGTGCGCCAGCAGTATCAACCAACAACTTCTACATACGCCCTGGGGAATTATTGTTGGTTGCATTTCTCTGGATGCTGCCACGAAGAGAAAATGATCCACTTTCTGCCCTCTGCATGCTCCTGGACCACATAGAGATGGGTAACCGAACTTCTGACGACTTTACAGTCTCCATCCAGTATCATTCCGTCAAACTCAAAAGTTCACGGCCTCCTTGATGTCAGAAGAGTACAACCGTGGAATGGACATTTTGGGATGCAATTTTTTTACCTGAATTCATTCTGCATCATCTGGATGCTGGAGAGACCTATACTCAGCTCGGGGTGTAATAATGCCACTCGCAAGGAGTATCAGCACTGAAAAACTCTCTTCGCGGCAAGTTTCAGCACCAACTTAGATAGATTTGGTCATCGGAACTGTCAGGAAAAAATAAAGTTGCAGCAACAAATATGCTTGCCGTTCCAATCTCACTCTACTCGTTTGGAGTAGTGAAGTGAACTCGGTATGAGCTGTATCAACTCGACGTCAAGACCCGAAAAATGGTTACGCCTATACTATATCAAGACCTGCATTACACACTTATCGATAAGCCGGTTCTCTTCACATCCAGCAACTCCCCTTCTAGACCTGCTCTGTTTATATACTCGTATCCGTTCAAACAGTCGGTCAACTTCGGTGAGTATTCGTATGTTTGAGATGTATGTTTCAGGCATGTTATAGGTCTGTGATTCTAAAGAACCGACAATTCTCCGATTTTGGGCATGAGAATGGTCCTTTCCACAGAAACAAATTTGCAATTGGCTGCTTTCTGTTCAGTCATGAGTTGAAAACACTGGCCAGATAGTGGTGGATGCTTGATAGTATTTTCTACCAATGAGTGTTCAGCACATTTTTGCCTAGAACAGCAAAGTTTTTAGAGTCTACGAAGGCTCTTCGAACGTTATCCGGGGTGTTTGGGTTGCGCAGCTCATTGGTCTCAGGCTGTCGAAGATCTTTGCCAAAAACTTCGGACTGCGTCAGGATTGGATTAACAACAAGACGCACAGACTCTTATTATTAATACTGATGTACCAACTACCAAAAGTTATTCTTTTCGCTTCACTAATCAACTTAGTACAATCAAGATAAATTTGACATAGTTATAAATGATCTTCTAATAATATACTTGACTGATAATGCGTAAGCAGAAGAGTGTTTATCATACTTACCATATCAGATATCAAGCCGAGGCATAAAACATATTTCTGTAACGAACAGAAGTATATTAAAATCATTTACAAAAAGTACAATGCAGAATATACATCTCAACTTTTCCCAATATTAATAGTCGACATTTTTTCAACTTCGACTTTCTGTTTTTCATTCAACATTTTACATTTGGAACAAACAATGGAAAGTTTCCGAAGAGATTAATTATATTTTAAAAATCCAACCTCCTTTTACTTATTAAAGATCGAATGAAGTTTTCATCAGACAAAATCATGCTAAATGTACGGGTCATTGTCAAATTATTAACTGTTTAAAAATCTGTTCAAAATTTGTTTTTCCGTTAATCAGTTGTCGGTCTAGTCGTTTTAGCGTGCGATTCCTAGTTGATATCTAAACTCAATTCGTTGTCTGATCTATTCGAAAATTTGAAATCAATCATCAGTAGTGATCAACTGATGGGACTGTATTATGTTTAAGCATACCGTAGACTGAAATATGGAATGGACTGTTTATGACTGTTTATAACTGAAAAACTTTTTTTTAACCCTGCGTCCGACATGTGGACTTCTGTAACATTTGTAGACATGTGGAGTATGTGAGACCCCAATATGATTTTTCTGTTAAAATTAACATTTCTTTAATTTCAACACTGTTGTTATGAGAATGCTGTTCTGAATTGTAGGGGTTATATTTTTAGGAGTGATTAATTTTTGGGAAAGAAAGTTTTTGGCTTTCTACTATTCCATCTTGATACAACAACATGTTGAGATGTATCAAACAGTTTCTCATTGTCATTGTTACCCAACTAGAAACGGAGACCTCATCAGAATTCCTGCACACAGCTCATCATTCTATGAAAAAAGCCCCTCATATAGAGGTATGAAGTTTTTCAATCATCTTCCCGCAAACCTGAGAGATCAACGGAATAAAAATGTATTCAAAACAAAATTGAAAGTATATTTGCAAGACAAATGTTACCACAGTATCAAAGAATTTCTTGATGCAAAATGAAAATGTGNTGTCTGAAAGTTACTTCTTTGCATGATCTACACATCCATGTATAGAGTTACTTCCTTTCTTTCTTTGGAAGACTCCCGCATCCTCCTTTTTTTTTGGTATCAAGATGGAGTAGTAGAAAGCCAAAAACTTTTTTGAATCATCTTTAATAATTACAGTTTTGGAATGAGGGAGACAAACATTTTTTCCATTCTCCCTGACATTTTTTTACCTAATATCAATAAACTACGCATTTTGTGGGAAAATATACATACTCACCTTTTCTTGAATGTGAGCAAGTCTGACAGACGATAAGGAACATGTCATAAGCAATACCACAATCCAAACCATCGTGCTGAGAAATAGAGTGCAAATTATACATCAAAACTGCTGCTGAGAAAAAATCAGAAGGATGGAGCCTGCTTTTGAGTTCTTGATAACAATTATTCATCAAAGTCATTATTCATTAAAGAATATGTGCTTGTTGCTGAAGGCTGAAGGGCTAGAAAGTTCGAGGGCTCACACACAGATGGCGTTACTATTGATACATCCATATGAATTTCAGTTGACCCTTACCTCTACAAGACACGTGTATATATTCCACAGCGTTTGAACTATTAGTTTGTGGGATATAACATTTTCAGTGAAGCAACTTTTGTTAGTTTGGAGAAAATGAATTAAAAAAAATCGGCGAGTTGATGAAGCATTTTTTATCAGCGGAAACAAATACTATTGAAACCATGGCTTGGCATATATAACAGCATTTCGTCACCGACGAAAACATCAAAAAAGTCCACGAGATAATTTTGGATAACCGCAAAGTGGGGTTGATCGAGATGAATGAGGCTCTGGAGATATCAAAGGAATGTGTTGGACATACCGTGCATGAATATTCGAGTATGCGAAAGCTCTGTTGATAGTCGGTGCCACGCAAGCTCACAATCGACCGGAATCAACAACGAATTGATGACTCTGAGGAGAGTTTGAAGCTGCTCCATTATGAAAAACGAAAATTTATGGGTCGATATGTGACAATGGATGGAACATGGTTCCAATATGCCACTTCGGATTCCAGACGATCGTCACCTGATTGGACTGTACGTAGTGAATCGACTTCAAAGCGTGCTAAGACGCAACAGTTGGCTGGCNCGGGTAGCTGAAAAAGATAGTACATAGTACCACTACTCGCCACTAGATGTCGTTAAGTATCACAATACACAATAATAATTGAAATGTAAAAAAAGCGTAAGTTTGCTTAGGTCACGCATTTTGCGACTATCCTAGTCAGAAATTGGCCCTTGAAAGAAACTGAAAAAATCATTATGGCCCGATGGCTTCAAAGTTTGGAGACTCCTGTCCTAGATCATCGTTCATCCTGCCCTTTCCAGGAAGGTGGACAGGTCACTAGGAGACATCTCCTTTAGATCGGCAGGTGTAGACCAAGACTCGCCGAACACACACTCTCTTATCAACGATAACTCCGTCAGTCAGAAATCCTACTGTTGAGCGTAGGCTTTTCCTGGTCATCGCCAGATATTTTTTCGGCGCCAGTTTCCTAAAGTCGCCTAGGGTGATTCTGACAAGAATGCATCCTTTGATTCTAGCCCATCTTTTCTGGGATTGAGCATTGGTATGACGTTTGGCTGCTTCCGCAATTGTCGAAGTCATCAGGCCGTAGATGTCACTGTGTACTAAGATTCTTAGTCCAGCTGCTTCCTTGGCTGAAGAGTAAGCAATTAGATTACCTTCACTCATGTCGTGCCCTTTAACCTACCTCAGGATAATGTTATTATCTACCGATGCTTCGGCTGAATCTTGGTGGCACTCTAGTACTAGCACTGAGGTAACACGTTGTCTGTTCAAGGCTAATAGGGCTTGTCTACTATCAGTGCCGATTGTTATGTTTTTGCCAGAAATTTCTTTCCTGGATATTTCTTCTCTTTCAACCACACTGGTATGAAAAGGAAATGAGGCATTCAAAATTTCACTGATCTGCACATTTTGCTATTTTCAGTCTTTCGAAAGTATCCGAGAATATCGAGTAACATTCTGTCATTTCATAAAATTTCTTCTCATTACTCACCGCAGATAATCAGGTTTTTTTCCTAAGAAATATATCACCGCTCCGAGACCTGAACGAGCTATTATTCATTCCACCACTGTGAGAAGCATTTTCTACAAATTATCATTCTTTCAACTTTTGTATAGAATTTTTTTCTTGGAAATGGTGTATATGCAAGATGTGCATAAAATCATCTTGTAGAGAAAACATAATATACCACTGCTTTTCCTCAATGTAATTCATCAAAGTAATTTTTTTGAAATCCTCTTTCCTGTCTTCGTAAATTTGTTTCCTCGATTTTTTCGTTCATGGTACGGTTTTTTTATAAAAAAATAAAAAAGTTGATTATCTCACGAGAAAGTGATCTATGTATTATTACATATTATTTTCATTCGTTCATTTATTTATAAGTATAATATTAAAATGATGGAAGAATGCATATATGCCCTGAAGAAAGTAACGCCGGCCGCCGCTGGTAACCATGGTTCAACATCAAACAGTCGCGATGTTTCGGAGCTGTTTGATGTCGCTTCGATAGAGTTCTGGAGAATTTTCTACAGCCTTGGATTACCAAATATAAACACCATCCACTCTTGATTGAGTTCATTTGCTGAAAACTAAAGGGGAACTTATCCCTCTGCCATGTTGAATATCAAACGAATGTGCTAAGGTCCCCAATGTTGTTGAAGATGACTAGGTGACAGCGTTGTGATCACACAGTTGAGTGCCTAAATGGAAATTGAGTTCATAAGTCGCTTAGAGGAGTGGAGTGGAGGAGGAGTGGAGTGTCGAGGAGTGGAGGATCAAAACTTCGGATTCCTTTACAGGCTCAATTCAGTGTTATAATTCAGTTGTCAGTTTTAAAAAAATATATCCATGGAACGAATTAATCAGAATGCAAACTCTCGAGGGGCATCATTACTTGGGTCTTCTTGTCGAGTTGATACTGCTGATCTCAAATTCACTTGAGTACCCCATAGAGGTGGAGTATAATCGGTTGGCCGAGTTTATAGTACCAATTCCATTTCTACAATATAGTTCTGTTGATCAGTGACCTCTCAGGAGTAAGGGCTTGTACACAAAACTGCGGTGAGACGTCGCAACGCAAAAATCTGCGAGCTCGCACTACGCATCGCAAGAACTTACGAATTGATTGGGATGAACCCAAAATCTTCTTTGTTTCTTTTGCCTGTATCTCCTAAGCAATAACAAAAGTGCACACTTCTTTTTACGATCCATATCACCTCCCACATCTAGTACCTGTACACGACCTAGTTTGCAAATACGTCCAGTACGGTTGACGGTCGTCGGAGAAATGGTCACCCTAGGCCCTAGGGAGCCACTTCGCAGCAATTCGTGCCGCAACTTTCTGCGTTGCGAATTCGCATCGCGTCTCATCGCAGTTTTGTGTACATGCTCTAACGTTGTTCCACACCCAGGTATTTCTACATCTCTCTGGCACCTTGATGATTCTTGCACCATCTACGAGCTGCACATTCTATATGTAATCCCCACATCGTCCTTCCATCAAATTGACTGCTGTCTATTCCGAATCATCTTGGAATACACCACTTCTTGAAGAGACCCGTTTTGTTTGGATTCTAACCTGACAGGATTTTATGGTGGAGTGAGTCCTTCAGTTTTTCAATGCATATCATTGTTTTATCAAGTGACATAAGGTTATTCGTTGTTGAACTGGATGTGGCAGGAATCGATATAGTGCATACGTTACTTCTATATTGCACGGTGTCTGAAGCGATCTGCCAAAGAAGAGGGACTCCTTGAATTATAGCGACTCCTTCATGTTTATAAGTCTGTGCCTGTTTATATATCGGTCTGTGATTTTTTCAATTATTGATATCAATATCATCTATAACGCCATCATTGAATTGGGTTTGTTTGGTTCTTTGATTCATCTATATCAAGATTTGTTTTCTTATCCAATATTGAAGACATATTTCAGAAACATCTTTGTATTTTTGAAGAATTTGCATATTGAGTAAAGCAGAATAAAACATTTAAATTTTGTGAAATTTATACATTCACTACACTGATATTTTTATATGAAATAGTGTTATGTTTGTTGCCATTGTTGTTCCCATGGTTGTTCATTGATGATGATGTTAGATGTCCATATCATGGAGAGTTCATTTCTTCTCGTTTAAAACATCAGGAATTTCTGAAAACAATATATTTTTCATCATTTGTTTCAAATTTTCATTGAGTGTCGAAAATAAATCAAACGGTTTGAACTGAAAAATAAACGATTCCATTTCATTGACGAAGCACTAATGCCCAGTGACGGATCAAAATAATTTTTCATCATTATTATCTCAATGAAATCATATATGGAAGAAAACTCACTTCGGGATCCTTTTTGTAAGCGCATTGGACTGCGTGCCATATTTGTTTAGTAGCATCTTTCAAAACTGAAAAAAATAGAAAAAAATACTTTCAACTAAAAGAGTATTCGTATTGGAATGTATATGTTTTCCAGATATAAAATTTTCATAATATTCATGTGTCTGAAACAGCAACTTCCGGACAATGGATCATTTGAAAGCTACTCTTTCCACATAATAACTGTTAAACGTTTTCAATACATTGATCTTTGTTAGTACTACTACTCCAGCAATCTGAGTCATGTAAAAATAATTTCAAAGCATTCTTTTTTATCTCCTTCATTGCTATGGAGATTGTTCAATTCGATTATAATCGTTATTGAAATCAAACAAAATTTTTGAAACATAATTGAATTCATAATTATTGGACACGTGTTTTTACACAGTAGCGTAACAGTCTTTTAAGCGAGACAATTTCCAAAAAAAACATAAAATATAATAATGATAAATTCGTTGGAATAACACTATAATAACAGTAATAATAATGGTCTCGGCCTATATCTATCGACATAACACGGCTCTAAGAGTGCTATATTACAATCTAGGGCACTCTTTCTGTATTGACGAGACACCGGTGTTACCCCACGCTCCGGAAGATATTGATTCCGTTGTGGGGAACGAGAAGTGCCGAATTTATTGTTACTACTCGTTCCCCACATTCAGGCTCATACAAGTCAATAAGCCTGATATAGTCCTTCTCGACCACCAGAGCAGAACGATATTTGTCGTGGAGTTTTCAGCTCCTGGCGAGTCGAATATCGTCCGAAAAGAGGAGGAAAAACGGATAAAATATCAAGATTTTCTCTTCGAACTCCGCAGACTCTTTCCAGACCACTCTGTCAAGATGGTTGTTCTGATTATTGGAGTCCTAGGTGGAATGATGCTCTCTCTACTCTCGAATCTTGAAATCATACCGGCTTGCCGGTTGATTGGTCATTGGTTGATAATGCTGGCGCGCATCGCCGAATGTATCGGGGCTTCGGGGGATAGGGCCTGACCAGCGCACACTACGGTGAAAAACTTATAATAATAATGATCAAGCAGGATGATAAGTCTGATGTAGTCCTTCTAGACCACCATGGCAAGACGATACTTGCCATGGAGAACGAATATCGAGATGAGTGTCCTTCAAAAAGAGGAGGAAAAGCGGATAAAACCTCCTCTCCGAACTAAGCAGACTCTATCGAGACCACTCTATCGAAATGGTTGTTCTGATTATTGGATTCCTTGGATCTTAGCCGGACAAATGCAGGAGGCTGTCATTCTTACGCTAGTTGCACACACACCGATTTTGGACGGCCAGTATAAAATCGGCCGATATTTCATTTGTAGCGGGTGCTTGCACACTCACCGGATTTTCATCGGTCAAACAATCAGTTGCTTTGTTGTCGTAATTAGCACGCACTACCAAAACGAAGTTAATGCGTAGTAACTACAATTTCACCGAGCATTAGAGACTGAAATGGTCAGTAAAAAACCGGTGAGTATGCTAGAGTGTATTTAGTCATGTACTTCTCGGTACTGCCGGCGATACAGTGGCAGAAGACGGCTGCTCACCGGTATTTTACCGGCAACGATCACCGGCCGGCGTGTGTGACAGGTCCCGTTCCCACATGTGGTTCACTATTGGAATTTGGACAACCGTCCAAATTCGGTGTGTGTGCAACTAGCGTTAGCTCACTACAATTACTCGGTACTCAGGTCACATGATTCTCGAACCTGCGTACATGATAGAAAAATCTCAGGAAAAGTATATAGATTGAAGAGTAGTAACCTCAATACTGACCCTTGTGGTACCTACATCTTTATCAATTGAAAATAATAATAATAACTTATCCACCATATAGTACTGCTTGAGTTTTATCGCTTGAATAATAGGATAAAAGTTTAGAAGCTTTTCTGCTGACCTCTATGAAATTCATAATGTATGACGTAAGTACAAAATATTCTAATCAGTATATTTGGTTTGTGCTTTTATTATAATTTGGCATATTGCATATCATGTGATTTTTTTGGAAGTCAATTATTTTTTCTATAGACAACAATATTTTATTTTTGTACAACTGTCATTGAAAGTAACATTTTCAATGGTTGTCAAGAGTATTAAAAGATGATGTTTACAAAGTAGCGTGTTGAAAATATTTTCAACACTAATGTTAAAAGTATTTTCAACACGATTTTTTTCGACCAAATAGCAATAAACAAAACATAATCAATTCAATTTTCAAGGAAGTTTCAACATGAACAATAGATACATTAATATACATTAATTATATTATTATTATTATTCATGAAGATCAATATGAAAGGTACAATCAGAACAACTACTGATATCAATACCTTGCGATGTTCGAGAGCCTCATAATATATTTGAACTATCTGAGTTAACATGTTCATGGGCATTAACAATTAATTTTTGAAGTGAAGAGGAAGATGCTGTAACACTTGAGGAAACTGTGGGAGTTATTCTTTCAACAAAATCCTTCTTATGAGAAATAGACTATTTGATATAAACCTCAGCTACTTCCGTCCTTCTTGATATCCGTTATATTTGCTTCTGATTCTGTTAGCAAAGAAGCAGGAGACCTTCTGAAACAGTGACCTGTACATGCCTTCGGTTCCGGGAGGTTCATAAACTCTGCAATGGTAGGGGGCATTTTATCAAACGTGTTTATACCAATTGGGTTGGCACTGCATTTACAATTTGGGTATTTCAGAAAAAAACATCGATGATTGATAACGGAAGGGCGTAATGCAACGTATTTATCAAAATAGTCTATATTTTTTCCAACAATGCAAAAAGAACGACCTATTTTTCATTTTTGTATTCGGAATTTGAGCAATCAATGATTCATCCATTAATTTATTCTCTTCTATTAATAAATGGTACAGCTCTTCAGGCCGGCAGGCTCCATATATTCCGAGAATAGTAGCAACTTTTATCATCAAATAATTGGAGTTGTTTGAACGTAACAGTTTTTGATTTTTTGGGCCAATAACTTTCATTTTTCCGTTTAAGGAATGATAATACTTTGAAATATCTTCTTTTATTGCCACCATTTTAACGAGCGCACTCAACTTCATCATTGAAAACTTGCTCCACAGAGTTGACGAGTTCCATATTTTTGATTTCTCTTCTAGATAGGCTAAGAAGACGGTTTCGTTGAAATTTCCGTCAACGTTTTCAAGTCTACACCAAATAAGAATATGCTATGTCGTATTGAAGCTTTTTTGCAGCCTCTTCATTATCGTCAGGAACACACAATTCCTCACTATTTTTCTTCATCAAGCAAAACATTAAATACCAGCAAGGACTTCAAATGTGATTCCAAATAAAACGCGTGAGCTGTAAACAATACTGTTTGTTGGTAATCAGGTAATTTGGCATCATCTGACACGGCCACTTCACAGCAAATGCGATAACATGAAAATAGTTAACTGACAAGAGATGTAAAAATGTGTTCTCAATGGAAATATTAAATTCGTCTATTTTATGATGGAAACAGGACAGTTGTACAAAAAACTTTGTATGATATTTGTGTTAGAAGTAAGTTTTATTTTGTTCGTGAAACTTTTTCATTCACAAAATGAAATCTTACTTTTAACACTCATATCATGAATAGCTATTATGGAATGGAAGATCTGAAATGAAAAGGAATACTCAAAGTCAGTATATCATGTTGAAAAAATAGAGACTCACCAATGTTCTTAGCCGCATTAAGGCACTCAATATGCTGGGCTAGTTTATATTCCAAATTATCTGGCAGATAGTGTTTCACCAGTTTTTCATCGAATGTGATATCAGTCTTTATCTGTGAATGAGAATCATTGATTGAAATATTTTTCATCAGACGATTCAGAACCAAAAACAAAAAACTAACTCAACAAAAAAAAAATCAAAACACGTTAACCTCATTCCTCATCAAAACAAAAATGATATCTCTCTACTCGCCTAACGCTAATCAAATTAACGTCTACAGAAGATGACTCAAACTGTCATCTTCGTTGGCAATGGTTTTTGAACCTGTTGACAAACTTGAAGCGTTTTTGGATTTCATCATGCATCGGAAATTGATTTCATACTCACCACTCCAGATATTAAGCCAAGACATGAGACATATTTCTGTAACAATAAGAAGTGTAGTGAGTTATAACAGTGTAGATATCATGACGGGGATGAACAGTTTTCAAAATATTGTAATATAATAGTGCAGGTGAATGAATGATAATAAATATGATGAGCCTTTTTCACTATTGAGTAGTATGATAATGGATTTTCTATCCCTGGGTGAGCCGAATGTCTTCCGGAGAAAGGAGGGAAAACGAATGAAATATCTAGATTTTCCTTTCGAACGCTACAGGCTCTAACTAATCCACTATTTTCACACGATTTTTCGGATTATAGTAGTTATTGGTAAAATGCTACCCTCAGGGACGTATCACTGGCTATCAGATCATTACATCGAGACCAACATGCATACAGGTCAGGTATGTCAACAGAAACGGCTTTATGTCGGATAACAAAAAAAGTAGAATATACTTACAGAAACAAGGAAGTACTTTTAGCTGCTTTCTTGGAAATTGAGGGCGCATTTAATAATATGTCGTTAGAATCATTCAGGCGTCGAGGAGAAAAGGGATCGACAAGACAAGCTGTAGGTGGATAGACTGAATGCTTAGGGGAAGATTGGTATATACAACCATTATGGGGAAAACAGTCGTGACACGGGTAGCAAGGGGCTGTCCTCAGATGGGAGTTCTATCCCCTCTGTTATGAAACCTTGTGATGGACGAGATATTAAGCCTCTTGGACCACAATGGGTATGAAGCACTGTGCTCTGCAGACGACTTAGTCATCTTAGTCCAGGGTGAATACAATAATGTAGTGAAGGGATGCATGCAGCAGGCCCTGAACATTATAACAAGATGGACCGAAGAAGAAGGGCTTAACATAAGCCCATCCAAATCGATCATAGTAGCATTCACCAAGAGGACTAAAACGGAGAGTCTCGGACCTCTGAAACTTCGAGGTGAAGAAATACAAGTGTCGGGGGAGGTTAAATATCTGGGAGTAATCCTAGATTCCAAACTGACTTGGAACCAACACTTGGATAGAATAAAGAGGAAAGCGGAGGTAGCACTGATGCTCGCCAGACGCACCTATGAAAAAACATGAGGGCTTGAACCAGACATGGTATATTGGCTATACACGATGGTGGTTAAACCCATGATAACATACGCATCTCTGGTCTGGTGGCCAAAGATGAACCAGGCGACCGCTAGCAACAAACTAGGCAAGGTGCAAAGACTTGCATGTTTGGGAATGACGGAAGCAATGAGAACTTCCCCAACAGCTGCATTGGAGACACTCCTGAATCTACCTCCTTTACACTTTGTGATAATGGGGGATGCCAGGATGAGCCAATCAAGACTGGAAAACTCACCGAACTATAAAAGTTCGGACCGAACAGAAATTTCGGAACAAGTGGAGGAGCACATATTGAATATGTGCACGGACCACATGACACCGAAGTACACCGTTAACACAAATTTAATGGCCAAAATCATAAGCCGTGAAGGGTGGAAGACCATTGGTCATCCCGAAAACATGTTTGGAAAAAACACCTGGTATACAGATGAATCGAAGACCAAACATGGAACGGGAGCTGGAATATACTGAGCGGATAGAAATTCAAACTACAGTTATCCGCTAGGACTATACATGTCCGTCTTTCAGGCGAAAGTGTATGCTATCTTGAAATGTGCAAGGCTTATTAAATTGAGACCTCAAAGAAATGAGCGGATCCATATTTTCACTGACAGCAAGAGCGCACTAGGGGCTCTGACAAACCCGAAGGTGACATCAAAACTGGTCTGTGAATGCCATGAAGAACTGAATGAACTTGCAAACAGAAACAAATCTACTTTGTACTGGGTGCCAGGGCATTCAGGAATCACAGGTAATGATGAAGCTGATGAATGCGCGAGACGCGGATCATCAACTCCATATATAGGTCCTGAACCAGCTCTGGGGGTACCAAAATCATTGGTAAGAAACCAGATTAGGATATGGACCAATGAGAAGCACACAGAGTACTGGACAAAAGCACCTGGCAACAAACACAGTAGAACCTTCATTAGGGAACCGTCCGAGAAAAGAATCGAAGAACTACTTCAATATAGTAGGGATCGGCTCAGAATAATTACAGGGTTACTAACAGGTCATTGTCCGCTAAGAGGACACCTGAATAAAATAGGGTTGTACAACGGAGACCTCAGCTGCAGATTATGCAACAAAGGGACAGAAACAGCTCTACACATCTTATGCGAATGTGAGGCACTGGATCACAGGGGACAGGCAATATTATATCGACGTACGAAATTACATCCAGAAGAATATGACGAACATCCAACACGGAACCTGTACAAATTAGTACAGGGAACGAGACTTATGGGATGGGTGTCATGAGAAGATGGAGAATAAACGCAATCAGCCCAAGAGGCTGCAGTGTTTTTTGGAGACTTGGACTAAATCGACAAGTGAGACAGCTTCCAAGGTACCAAAAAAATGCTACCCTTTCCTCTCTTGAACCGCGAGATCATAACAGTTCATCTTAAGACACGGACACAAGGTATATTTTCTATTTAATGAAATTGAGAATTGGTATATATTTTTTTAAATAACTGAAATTTCGGAATGTTTTGAATTTCAGTTTCTCTACTCAGAAGCAATATAAAAGAAATTAAAAAAAAAATTATTTAATTCAGTGAGTATTTTTTCTCAAACTGAAAACTTTGTAGGCTGACATTCAGTAATGAAAATTTCGTAAAATTTGATTTTTTTGAAGGCGACACAAAGATTATAGCGGTCATACTTTTCGATACAATGTTTATAGTACGATGTATCTTTAGCGTCAAAATAGGCCCTATATTCGACAATTACTTCTGCATCAGAACGAGCATTTTCTTGAGATCTGGGAAATAGTTGCTGGGGGCACGATTTGGATGATTTGGTGGATGCGGAAGAAACTCGGAGCCCAATTCATGTGAAATTGCCATAGTTTTCATTGATTTGTGAGACGGTGTATTGTCCTGATGAAACAGCACTTTGTTTTTCTTCAAGTGGGGCCATGGGGCAAAAATTCTATACTGGAATTAAAGAATTCATTTACCTGAATATTTTCGTCGTCGGCGAATTTTCCTTGTTTCAATTCCTCAATTTGTTCCTCTGTGGCACCAGTTATGAGAGTGCATTGTTTATGCCAGATTTTGGATGCTGGTCTCAATATGTCACCAAGGTCCTAAAAACATTTTTTTATCAAAATTCAACCCCAATCATATTGCAATAGTGTGTTTGATATGGCCATCATCACACATTCAGCAGTTGCATCTGATACTAGCTCGAATATTACCTACTAGAGTTTTTTTCCAACATCAAACCGTTATTTCAACACCCCGACATGTGTTTTGATCTCCAACTGGTCATCTTCAAGAGGAATGCCTCTCCAAAAGAAAGATTTTTTTGCATTTGTCGGTTATAAAGTCTGTGGTCGATGTTTCAGTGTTCCATGATAGATAGTTCTAAGATTCAAGGTGTTGTGGAGTTCATTTTTTATATTATATCAATGGTTTTTTTGCATTACAAGTGACTTAAGTGAATTACAAGTGACCTAAGTGAATGATATTTCTATAGTTATGCATTTTTCTTTTTGCATTTTATCAATGATGTTCATATAAAGCTATTCAGCATACTAAAAATGTCGTTTGATAATTACATACTTTTCAACTCGTAAATAATAATAATAATACATTTATTTTCCCAAAGATGATAAAACATATAGGAATAGTCACTTATAATCTAAAGATCTAAAAAATCATCCAATGTATAAAAAGCATTGTCGAGTAAATATTTCCTCAAGCGAGTTTTAAAAATAGAAATATTGGCGCAACTGACTATTTCTTTAGGCAGTTTATTAAAAATCCTCAGACTCAAATATTCAGAAGATTTCGAAGATACAACATACTTACAGTAGGCAATGTGGAAATCAGCGCAATTTCTCGTATTATAACTATGGATTTGTTGGATTCTAGTGAACTTATTTTTATTTGTTTAAACGTATACAAACATTTCTAAAATTGAAATAGGTAATCGTCATTATTAAAATTTTTGATGCTTTAAAAATCGGTCTACAGGATGCTCTGCTTGAGGTATCGCAAATGATTTTTAAAATGCGTTTTTGTACAATAAATACGTCTGGTGCTCGAGTGGACACACCCCAGAAACATATGCCATATCGTAATCGAGAGGCTACTTGTGCATGATATAATACGATTAATTGTTCACGTAACAAAATGTCCTTAAGATTTCGGAACATAAAACATAATGAGTTCAATTTTGAGATCAAGTTGGTACAATGTTCTTTCCAGTTTAAACCAGAGTCTATAGTAATTCCAAGAAATTTGACTGATAAAGTAGGCTCAATCAAGATTTCATCAGTTTTTATTGTTACGGTTTCACATTATTTTTGGTAGTTGTGGAATCGTATTATATTTGTCTTATTACTAATGAAATAGAGACACTTCTGATCACACCATGAAATAAGGTTACCAACCGCAGTTGTACACTTTTGTTTCAAGGTATTTTCACATTTATCAGAGACAAATATATTGGTGTCATCTGCATATCAAATGAAGCTGGCAGAAGATTCGATATTATCCATGTCATTCGTGTGGAATAAAAATAAAATTTGCCCCAAAACAAAGCCTTGGGGAACGCCCATGGAGATATTTTGATATGCAGATTTAGTGGAAGATATACTGACAAATTGTTTTCTGTGTGTTAAGAAACTCCATATCCAGTCGAGTGAAACTCCACGAATTATCATATTTGTACAATTTGGACAAGAGTACCTCATGCTGAATGCAGTAAAATGCCCTGCAGAGATCACAGAAGATCCCAACAGAGCACTCACCTGATTCGATTGCTTTGATCAATTTTTCATAAAATGACAACACCGCACTCTGAGTTGAGCGTCCTGGCAGGAAACCATGTTGGTTATCTGAGAAGATAATTTCACCCCATATTGATAGATCATGTATTTGGATATCCACTTAAATACGCGTATTATATTGTTAAGAAGTGAAGATATTCATTCATTTTTGTGCTTCTGGTTTTTCAATTCACCTCATTATAAATTCCACCACGGACTTCGTAAAATGGATATAAGTACTCACGTTTTCTGGAATGTGGGCGGGTCTAACAAATGATACTGAACATACGATGAGGAATATCATGAACCAAATCATTTTGCTGACAATATCTGAAAAATAATTCAAATTATACCACACAAATTCAGAATCTGAATGGGAGAGGATTTTGATATTGGAGCCAATTGAACCTGTACAAAACTAATCTGGAATTCCACTGTTATAGAGATGTATTCTTTTATGATATACATTGTCACTTTACTGAAATGGGGGATTACGTAAATATAAAAAAAATCATTTCTTTCAAACATAAATTCTAAATTCCTGAAGATTAATGAAAGGTTCAAATCGCGTATTTCCAACACTTTTCATTTTAAATATACATATGCAATCGATATTTTACGACATAATCCTCATCAATATCTGAAGAAAAATATAAAACTAAATCTTTGATTTTTGAGAATTTTTGACATTGGATCTTGGTGAAGTTGATAAAAAACTTTTTGGAACTGATATAAATGATGGAAAAACAATTTTTTGAGAATAATACGGCAGATGAAAACCTTCTGTTTTCAAAAATAAAAATGGCAAATCTGTTCTAGACAGATGCAAACTGTTATCATCGAGATATAGAAAAGAAAATTGTTTCTGGTGCGTCACGAACGACATTGAATTTTCTTATTCACATGATGAATGAAAATAGTTAGGTACTCTTGAAATTCTTAATATAAAACTTCAGAGACAATTGATAAGTCACCATAGTAGAATGCCACCAAAAATTATGTATTTCATATAAATATTCAAACGCGTGTCGAGAAGAGTGTTACAGTTTTAGAAACAGTGCTTGCTCTGAATTTATTCTATTCCATATGAGTGTTCAAAATATCCTCATGACAAAATGTTTTTTTTTTTTTGTGAAAAATATACGAATTTAGTATCTTACCTTGTTTCTTCCAAGAGTTTATCTCATACAAAGGAATATGTTGCAAAATTCAAACTATTCTTAAATGTCGCGCTACACGGTATTTATATACACTCCAAAATATGGGTGATAATGAATGCAAATGTCACTGAAAAAAGATATACGCTGTCTGTTCAAAAAATAGGTAGCATTATAATTTTTTCAATATTTTTATAAATATTGACCAATTTCTATTCTGCCACCTTCAAAGTAGTTCCCTCAGATATAATACACTTGTGCCAGCGTTTCTGTCAATCTTTGTAGCCGTTTTCAGTATTTCTTCGAGTTCTCTCAGCGATTCGTATTTTATCTTATCAATCGTCGCATAGCAGTGTCTTTTCATGTGTCTTCTCAATCTTGAGGATTGGAAACAGTCGCAGGGGGCGAAATCTGGTGGTTACTTTGGCTGAGGCATTATTACGGTGTTGTTTTCGGTTGAGAAAGTACGAACAAGCAAAGACGACCGAGCAGGTGCATTACCGTGATGCAGAAGCCATGATTTGTTTTTTGACAATACCGGATTATTTCCTACGTATTGCTCGTCGCAAGCGGCGTATAACATAACATAATACTACTCATTGACTGTACGACCATATGGAAAAAACCCCTGTTGCACTACGCTACGGTAGTCAAAGAAAACAGTGATTGAAATCCTCATATTTGATCAAACACGGCGTGTTTTTCTTTATTTTGTCTCTCGTTGGCTCTTCCAATGGAGCGATTGAACTTGCGTTTCGATGTCATTACCATATACCCATGATACCTACATCACCAGTTCTGTATCTGTATCTGTAGAGTAGAAAGGGTGAGTGTAGGCCCACAGCACTTAGGCCACATGTGGCCCATTGTACATTCCCGCAAGATGGTATCCTTCTAGGTCATCGTCCATCCTGTCCTTTCCAGGGAAGTGGACAGGTCTCTGAGAAACATCTTCTTTATATCGGCAGGTGTGGGCCAAGACTCGCCAAAAACACACTCTCTTATTGACAATAACTTTGGACAATCGCATAGGACATGACTGACAGTTTCATCTTCCTGTTCACACTCACTAGGCCCATAATATAGAGGTATTTTCTCATTTGACAATGGCCAGTTATGAATCCTACTGTAGAGCGTAGGTTTTTCTTACTAATTTTTTCAGGGATTGAGCATGGGTGTGACGTTTGGCTAGTTCCGCGATTGTCCAAGTCATCAGGCCGTAGGTGTCACTGAGTCCCAAAATTCGCAGAGTCGGCAATGCGATTACCTTTACTCCTGTCGTGCCCTTCAATCCACCTCAGGATAATGTTATCTACCAAGGCTTTGGCTAAATCTTGGTGGCACACTAGTATTAGCCCTGAGGTAACACGTTGTCTGTTCTCGGCTAATAAGGTTTGTCTGCTATCAGTACAGATTATTATGTTTTCGCCAGAAATTCCTTTCCTGGTTATTTCTTTGGTGACGACTGAGATACCAGCCAGTTCTGTTTGAACCACGCTGGCATTTTCTCTATTCTCCATTCAATCCTTAGGCTTAGTGATATGGAGTACACTCCACATCCTGAGTCTTCTTTAGTATTTGAGCCGTCTGTATGTATTCGTATGGCATTTGTAGCATCTGACTCTGTGTTCTGTTTTATTTGTATTTTGTAGGGTTCATTGAACACAAACCTGGGTTCAATTGGATCACTGATTGTCTGCAGCAGAGGTTGCACAGTTAACACTCCTCGTCATAGGCTCAGCCTCAATTGACCCATTTCTACTTCGAAGTTCACACTAGCCGTGCGCAATCGTAACATGGCTGTTGACGCAACCTCCTGAATGTACAGGTTCAGAGGGGTCAGACCAGTAATTAATTCCGTCGCAGTGGGTGTTGTTCTCATGGCTCCTGTGATGTTTAAACAAACCAATCGCTGTATTTATTATAACTTTTGGATAGCTGTTGCTTGTAGAACTTTCGATTCTCATGCAATGGCTCCATACGGTAACAAAGGTCTCATTATTGCAGTGTAGATCCAGTGTAGATCCACACGGGGTGAAAGACCCCATGCGCGCCCCACTGTCCTTCGACATTGCTCATAAGCCACATATGCTCTTTTTGCTTTACTCTGTGAGTGAAAATTCCATGTTAGCTTCCTGTCGGGGATAGTACCAAGGTATTTCACCTCTTCAAAGGAGTTTTGTTTGCTTTTGGAGATTTTGGGAGGTTTTAAGCCCGACAAACTTATTTTCCTGGTGAAAAGGACCACCTCACTTAGTGAGTGTTCCTTACACCATGTTTCTATCAATTTGAGCCCATCCTGCGCTCTATCACACAGTATGTTCACAAATTTTCCAGTCTGCATGATAACTATCTGCATATGCAATTGTGTAGAATCCATTATTGTTAAGGTTTTTATTCAGGGTATCCAGAACTATGTTCCAAAGAAGGGATGATTGGACCCCTCCCCTCAAGGCCAGTCCTCTCACTGTGATGTCTTATACTTATTGCTCTACTAAAGATCATCTTGAGTATGCATCCCCAGTTATGATCCCTTTGAGCAAATCTTGATCGCCGGTGACTTCTTTCAATAATTCCTGGGCGATGCTCAAGCTACGTTTTTTTGGTAAAAATTCAGCAATTTTGCCACACGCTTCATCCTCAAAATTTCTCAAAAAATTGCTTAGCATGAGCCAACCGATATGCCGTCATCCGCATCAACTTTTCTAATAGTGATTCGACAATTCTTCATAACTATTTTCTTCACTTTCCCAACATTATCGTTGGTTGTTGATACGCTGGGGCGCCCGAGGCGAGCGTCGTCATTCACATCTTCTCATCCTTCTGTAAAGAGCTTGTACCACTTGTAAACGTTTTTTGACTCAGAGTACAATCAACGTATGCCACTGTCAACAAACCGAGTGGTTTTAAGCACTTGGTTACATTTTTCACAGGAAATTTGATGCAAATTCTTCGATCCATTTTCCACACAAAACAATTCTAACATTCATACCTCTCACCAACAAATTAAGTATGTCAAGCAGCTCAAACTGTGAACATATGTTCGAGACGAGTGCACCAACATACCAACATAAAATGAAAATATCGGATGTATGTATTCCGCGATATTAGAACATTCCTCTTATTTTCTGAACAGTCCACGTATAGTTGGATTCAACTAATTGGTATGACGAAATGAAAGGTCATCGCCATAATTCATCAAAAATATGATGAATTTCCAAGGAGTGAATGTTGTTTAATACTTTGTTTTTTTTTATTCTTGTCTCCAAACATATTATATCAAAATTGTTATTCGACTGAATACTAAGTCATTACTGAATGCAGATGGGAACGAATATCAAAATCATTATTTAATATTTTGAAAAAAAATATATGTTTGAAGTATGTTTGTCCATTAACCAGCTGTCGCCTTCCTACGAACGACAACTCTCAAAAATCGAAACTTGTGCGAGCTGAGGACTAACGAGGTCTTACCTTGAAACGTGTGATTCATATCACGTGTTGAACGATACCAAGTGAAAATCGATCGTTCAGGCTGCGGCTTGAACCACCGACTAACACGTCGGTCGACTGATTGAGTGGAAGAAGCACCTACGTCGTACCGACCGAGAAAATATTCATTTTCAAATAATTATTATTATTTACACGCTTTTATTAGCTTCACCTGTATGTTTGTATGTTTGTAACTCTTCTGTAATTGACAGAGTTATCGAAATTATTGCATGATCTATTCGCGGGCTGATGGCGCTGCACGTAATCTCCTTGATATAATTCGAAGTCACTTTACATGTATTTCTTCATTTGAAAAAAAGAAAATTCTAAAAACAGCTTAACAAATTGCTAACGATAGTCAATTTTCAGTGTCATTGCTTTTTGAGTTTGAAAGCCGTGGATTTTTGGAATTCCTTCCTGACATTTCGCTGGCGCGAGTGGCTAGCTTCTTCAGAAGTTTAACCATCATGGCTTGCTGTCCGATGACTACCTTTTAGGCTTCGTAAAGCGTATTTATGCCTCGTCAGGTAATCAGTTGTATTTGTACCTGTATTTGTACCTGCACTTGTACCTGTACTTGTACCTGCACTTGTACCTGCACTTGAACCTGGAACATTAACAATCTTGCTGCCTGTTGTTCTGTTCGTGTTTCAAGAATTCCTTAAAATGGAGTTACATATTCGATTAAGGTTCACCGCTTCTTCTTTTCTGTTGAAATTCTCCGTGTGTTTGTGGATCTCTATTGCCTGCCGTACCAGTCGGCTATGGTATCCCTGGTTGGGGGCAATTAGTTCTGTGTTCTCAAACAAAATTATGTGGTCTCCTTCACTAAGTGCGTCTTCTGCCACAGCTGACTTGTCCGTTTGGCCTAGTCTGCAGTTCCAAACTCGAAAAGCGATAACACTGAAAACCTCAGCCGTGAAAGTCTAAACCATTTTGTCGATGGTCAATTTATCAGGATATCAGTGGTAGCGTTTTTTTTTTGTGAAACAAACATTTTTGGATAGGATGCCATTCGATTCGATTTTGCTGAAATGAAGAGATAAAAAACTACGCCTGGGTCAGAAAGTTATTTGGAAATTACGTCAAACTAAAACCCTGATAAATGTGATGAATATTATAGCAGATATAGTTTTTTTAATGAATCGATGTACAAATTCATATAACTTTCATCATGGCTATATAAGAATGGCATTTGGAACATCCGTTGCATATATGATTCATCAGAAGGAAAATAATGAGATATGAGATTGGCTTCGAAAAATACGTGATTTGGAAAATCCTCATCACATATGTTCCTTATTTCTGGATGTTAACAGCAAACCGTGTGATCTTTCATATACGTGAATGTAGTATGAAGGATTGAATAGCAAAAAATGTGTTTTTTGGTGATGCTGTGGATATTGCCGCAACTCAGAACTCGCTTGGCTTATCAACGAGAGGATTTTATTCGCTGTTTCACCAATTCATTATTCATCCAAATAATGAAAGGATTCATTTAAAAACTCAATCGAATATTTATTGTAACGAAATTGGGAAAATACTTCAGGAATAAACTTATACTAAAATGTTAATTGAA